ACCTAGAATGAGATCTTGTGCCCTCTTCTGGCGCCACAGGCATACATGCAGGCAGAACACTATACATAATAAATTAAAAAAGAAAAAGAAAAGAAGCATTAACAAGTCTGAGAATCGAGCAAAGTTGAAGGACTCCAAAAAAGATATACTTTGAAGCGTAATTCCTTATAGGGGCAAAAATAACAAAAGAAACCAATATTTTAAACATTAACCTCATAGTGGCACACCTAATCCCAGCACTGGGGAGGCAGAGACAGGCAGATTTCTGCGAGTTTGAGGCCAGTCTGGTCTACAAAGTAAGTTCCAGAACAGCCAGAGCTACATAGTAAGACCCTGTCTCAAAAACAAAACAAAACAAACAAAAAGATACCTTCTATTGTCCTTTCAAACAAACTGCTTAAATTTATATCTCTGTGTGTGCGTGAGCACATGCATGCGTTGGAGATCAGAGAATAACCTGGCAGAGTTGATTTTTCTCCCACCTTCATGTAGGTTTCTGAGTTGTGAGGATTAACTCAGGTTGTCAGGCACAGATGTACCCACTGAGCCATCTCACCGGCCCCTCAACTAACTGCCTTTTGTTTCTGTTTTTTTCTTTTATTTTTGACACAGGGTACTCCATGTAGTACTGCCTGTCCTGGAACTCAGGAGATCTGCATGCCTGAGTGCTGGGATTAAAAGCAAACACCACCACTACACCTACCCTAGCTGCCTATTTCTCTTGCGCGCTCACTCTATTTTTCTTCCTTCCTTCCTTTCTCTTTTTCTTTTCTTTTCTTTCTTGAGACAGGGTTTCTCTGTGTAGCTCTGGCTGGCCTCACAGAGATCTGCCTCCCGAGTACCGGAATTAAAGGTGTGCACCATCCGCCCAGCATCAGCTAATTTTTCTTTTTTCTTTCTTTCTCTTCCTTTCTTTTTCTTTTTTTTAAGGTTTTTCAAGACAGGGTTTCTCTGTAGTTTTAGAGCCTGTCCTGGTACTAGCTCTTCTTGTAGACCAGGCTGGCCTCGAACTCACAGAGATCTGCCTGGCTCTGCCTCCAGAGTGCTGGGATTAAAGACGTGCACCACCACTGCCTGGCTTATCAGCTAATTTTTAATGTACTTGCTATATGAATCTCTAAATCTATACTTCTGGACACAGTGTGGGATGTAACTAACATAACACTCCCTATTCTTTTCTTTAATTTTATTTATGTATTTTTTAGTATGAGTGCTGTCTGCATGTATGCCTGATGCTAGAAGGCATCAAATCACGTTAGTGGGTGCTGGAAATTGAACTCAGGACCTTTGGAAGAGTGGTTTGTGCTCTTAATCACTGAGCTATTTCTCTAGCCCAAAACTTACTATTCTTAATTCCTATTCTTAAATCTGTTTTTCTTAACTCTTCTAAAAATGTACAAGGTAGACTTATTACAAACAAAACTGCCTTACACTCAGCCCTTGGCAGTGGATCTCTGCGATCCAGCCTGAAGTCCAGGACAGCCAGGGCTGTTACACAGAGAAATTCTGTCCCAAAAAAACAAAACAAAAGATTAGCAGAAATATGACAATAACTATCTTTCAAACTACTGTTTATATAACCTTTTGGCTTCAGGAGCGTTCAAGCCTTCCTGGTTAAAAAAAAAAAAAAAAAAAAAAAAAGCCTTCCTAGTCACCTGGGAGGTGGAGGCAAGCAAGTCGGTAGTTTAGGGGTTTTCCACATAAAACCCCGCATCAAACAAAACAAAATGACAACAACAGCAAAAACAAACAACCAAACAAACCAAAAAAAAAAAAAAAAACAAAAACAAAAACGAAAAACGAGTAATGGCAGGTGGCACTTAAAAGGGAGAGACAGGGAGGAAGATACTGAGTCTGAGGCAGGCTGTGCTTCATTGACAGAACTGTCCCAAAGGAGTACGTCACACAGTTTTAAAAGACAAAACATTGAAACCCTGTCTCGAAAAACCAAAAAAAAAAAAAAAAAAGACAAAACATTTTGGGGCCGGAGAGAGGGTTCAACAGTTAAGAACACTGGCTGCTCTTCCAAAGGACCCAGGTTCAGTTCCCAGAAAACCACATGGTAGCTCAAAATGGCTGTAACTCCAGCTCCAGGGCTTCTGACACGCCCACACAGATCTCCAGGCAGACAAACACCAGTGCACATAAACTAAACATAAGTACATTTACAAACAAACAGCTGGGCAGTGGTGCACAGGCCTTTAAACCCAGCACACAGAGGCAGGCGGATCTCTGTGAGTTGAAGGCCAGCCTTGTCTACAGAGCCTAGTGCCAGGACAGGCTCCAAAGCTACATAGAGAAATATTGTCTTGAAAAACCAAAACCACAGAAGCCAACAAACAACAGCTGGCCATGGTGGCACATGGTGGCTGTGCTATGTATGAAAACTCATTTTGTTAGGATTAAAGGTGTGCACCTCCAAGGCCCAGCAGAAAACTCTTAAAAAACTCCCAGTTCCCCTAATCCCCAAGGACAACAACTGAGTTCACTTCAGTAATACAGACACATCAGGGACACCAATACTTGTACCACCTGTGTCCTCATGTTCACCGACCGAGGATCTGAATGATCAAGTTTTCCAAGTCATTGATTTTTTTTTTTTTTCGGTTTTTCGAGACAGGGTTTCTCTGTGGCTTTGGAGCCTGTCCTGGAACTAGCTCTGTAGACCAGGCTGGTCTCGAACTCACAGAGATCCGCCTGCCTCTGCCTCCCGAGTGCTGGGATTAAAGGCGTGCGCTACCATCGCCCGGCTTTTTTTTTAAATATTTATTTATTATGTATACAATATTCTGTCTGAATGTATGCCTGCAGGCCAGAAGAGGGCACCAGACCCCATTACAGATGGTTGTGAGCCACCATGTGGTTGCTGGGAATTGAACTCAGGACCTTTGGAAGAGCAGGCAATGCTCTTAACCTCTGAGCCATCTCTCCAGCCCCAAGTCATTGTTTCTGAATGCCAGAATTTACCAATTTACCACAGAGCCAGAGATGGCTCTGTGGGCTGAGTGTCTGCTGCACACGACTGAGGACCTGAGTACGAATCTTCATCACCATGTAACCCCAGTGTTGGGGGGTCGGAGGAAGTGGGCCCCCAGGAGCTCACTGGGCAGCCAACCTGGCCAAGCTTCAGGTTCAGTAAAAGAATCTTTTCTTTTTCAAGATTTATTTTATGCACACAGGTGTCTTGTCTATTGTATGTCTGCATACCAGAAGAAGGCATTCGGGATCCCCATGAAATTATAGTTACAGACAGCTATGAGCCACCATGTGAGTGTTAAGAATTGAACCAGGGACACCAGAGGAACAGTCAGTGCTCTCTTAATGACTGAGCCATCTCTCCTGCCCATAAAGATCCTATCTCACAGGACATCTGACCTGATCTCCAGTTGCGCACGCACGCACGCACACAAGCACGCACGCACACATGCCACATGCGCGCGCACAACACACACACACATCCACAAAAAGAAACTAAGATTTATTTAAGTTTGTTTGGTAATTGTACTGAAAACCATGATCCAAGCAATCAAAGATCATTAAAAAGTTCCATAAGGAAGCCCTGTGGCAGATCTGCAATCCCGGTTAACTCAGGAGGCTAAGGCAGTAGGAAAGTGGTACCTAAAGAAATAGTAAGTGGGTGTGTGGACTACAGCTCGATGGTAGAGCCCTTCCCCACGCGTGGGATCCGCAGAGTTGGGAAGGCACTAGCTGCCAAGCTTGGCCATCGGACTTGGACCCCCAGAACCACGTGGTGAAAGGAGAGAACCAATGCCCTTGGACTGTTTGACTTCCACACCTGCGCACGCATGCGTGTTCCCACACACACGTACATATAAATAAATAAGTGTAATACAAAATAAGTCCCAATTAAGTTTACAGATTTGCAAATCGAGACCACATTGCTGTGTGGCCAGCTAAGTCAGTGACTTCTTAACCAAAAGCGACCGCAAGGATGCAGAGAACTCCAGTAAGAACCAACCAACTGAGTCACACTGCAGTCAAGCTTAGCCGCCAGCCAATATCATAGAGTCCCTCGAAAACCAATACATTTTCTATAACCGATGTTCCCAGGTCCATCTCCCAAGACAGGCTCCCCTGCCTGCCTTTAGTTCTCTGTATCCCAACAGTTGCTTCCTGGCTTACTCGAGTGCTGCTCAACCGCTCAGATTCTGAACTCTCCGTGGGTTGGGATCCTGAAAATACCTACACCGCCCAGGCACCTGAAGGGGGTGAGAGGCACTCCTGACCCGGCTGGGAACGGAAACCAACGCTTTACAAGGGGAAGCCCATCGCTGGCCTTTGTCCCACAGCACCTAGGCCTACTGTGCCGTGACAGCAATGAAGGCAGGGACCTAGGCTGGCACACATGCAGCTTGGCAGGGCTTTTCTGAGGCTCCCTCTCCTGCCAGATTCTGAAGGGGCCTGCAATCGTACAGCACCCCGGGGGTGGCTCGCTCACAGGCCGGACAGTACTGCCTGCGAAGAGTGGTTCCGTGTCTGCACGTCTGACTGCTTAAGGGAACTCAAGCGTGGGTGATCCTCGTGGACAACCAACAGGCCTCTGAGCTACAAAGGAGCTCCTCGGGCGCACAGATGACTGCAAGCGAGTCGTTTCTAGACAGGTCTAGGGCCGGCTGCTACACAACTCAACTTGTCATGTCGTGGACTCCTCGCTCGCCAAGAGCCTGGTCCTGTGGTTTTACGGTCTGAGGAACACTCGGGCCTCCAAGGCCTACCCTGGGAAGTGTGTACTCGGGACCGAGCTCCTGCCTTCCCAACTCGGAGGCTGGGACCGAGTTTCCCGCCCCACGGCCCGACCAGAGGTTGGTGACAGTTGAGGAAGCTGGGACCGGCCCTAGCAGGTTGGAACCGGTCTGGGCCAAGCTGGAGAAGGAAGGGGGGGGGGGTGGGAGACAGCCCCGCGCTCTCCCTGCGCGCGTGACTCACGCTGGCCGCTGACGTCAGGCGTGCGCGCGCGGCGGGGGGGGGGCTCTACGTACGTGTAGTGCTGCGGTTTCTCGGGCTGTGCCTGCAGCACCTGAGCGGTAGCGGCCGGGGGCGCCGAGGAAGCTGCCGAGCCGCCGGGCCCCGGGCCCTTCGACATGGTCCTGTCTTCCTGCCTCTTCGCCTCTCCCCTTTTATTATTCAGTCTGCGCGGTCCGCGCCGAGGACCCACAGCGCCTGCGCCGCGCCACGAGAACGTGAAGACCCCCCGCACGGCAGCAAAGGTTGCTGGGAGTTGTGGTCCTCCTTTCGGATGAAATTTTACCGTTGGCACAGGGTCGCTGCCGAAGCACAAGACCACAATACCCAGGGATCTTTGCGGACCGTGTCCCGGATGCTAAGGACCCGCGATGTCTTGTGGTAATTGTAGTCTGGCCACTCTTAACTAATACCAGCGTTTTTACAGTGTGGTGGGAAGAGAGCTCTTCCTTGAAACTGGAACCATCGGAGTACAAGAAGCGAGTTAGGGAGGCCCTAAACGATTCCAATCGAGAATGTTTCAAGTATAATCACGCTGCCAACAGTGTAGTAATTACCTGCCTCCTTACCAGTACAGTCTGCGCATGGTTGCTAAAGTCAGCCTAGAGCATTGCCTCCAAGCAGGCAAGCTTGTGAGCCAACTTCTTCCTGAGATGGTAGTAACCTGTACATCACCAGGGAAAGTAAGCCGGCTGGCAGACAGTTTGAGGAAGCTTTGTTAAAGAAAAGTTACACTACCCCATACTGTTAATGCCTCATTAACATTTACCAGCCCTGAAACCTGGGCTCCGTCTGAACTCAGTGGCTGGCCGAGACACCTTGTTTCCAGTAGATTAAGGTCCAAGGGAGAACTCAGTCTTTATCTAGTGGTTTTCATAGATACACTGGTAAATTGCGGAGAAGCATCACGGTAGACCAATACGAAGGGCTAGGGCGTGAGTAAGGAATGAGTTATATTGCACTCTGGTTCTCTTTTCTGGAAGACCTTTCCTGTTTGGGAAAATACAGGGCCATAGCCTCACATTTAGGCATTTGGTTTTATGACATGACCTCCACGGGCTGGATATAGTGACTCATGCCTGAAGGAGGAAAATCACAAGCTCCAGGCCAATCTGGGCTACATGCTGAGACCCAGTCTCAGAAAACAAGAGCAGAGTGACACCTGCCTTGGTCCCAGCACTCGGGAGGCATTCAAAGTAAGCCTGGTCTACATAAGCTGGTTACAGGTCAGCCAGAGCTTCCCTCTGTCTAACAACCACACCAAAAATAACAAAACAACAGGAATGGGGAGATGGGCCAGAGGTAAACGTGCTTTCTTTGCGAGGCTGGAAACCTGAGTTTGATCACTGGCACCCTTTGTTAAGGTGGAAGGGGAGAACCCACTCCACGAAGCTGCCTTCTAGCTTGCCGGTGGGTTCACACTCGCACCTCTCACACATGCATCACACACAACCAACCAACAAAATGTCCATCGCAGGGGGTGTAATGCTGCCGCTGACCTGTTCTCTGTTCAATATGCTTCAAAATCGTTTTCTTTTGTTTGTGATATACGTTTGTTGTTGTTCTTTTTTAAAAAATATTTTATTTATTTATTATGTATACAATATTCTGTCTGCGTGTATGCCTACAGGCCAGAAGAGGGCACCAGATCTCATTACAGATGGTTGTGAGCCACCATGTGGTTGCTGGGAATTGAACCCAGGACCTGTGGAAGAGCAGGCAATGCCCTTAACCTCTGAGCCATCTCTCCAGCCCCTGTTGTTGTTCTTGCTGTTGTTTTGCTTTAATTTTTATGTGCACTGGTGTGAGGGTGTCAGAACCCCTGGGATTGGAGTTACAGACTGCTGTGAGCTGCCATGTGGCGACAGTTTGATCCCTTACATGGTGGGGAAGAAAACAGGTTCCATACTTGCATCAGGGAACAAATACTTGAGTAAAATTTAAGACTCTTTTGAAAGAGAGAAGCAGAGTGTGCTTCTTGACGACACCTTTAATACTAGCTTTGGGACACTGGGGAGATGGCTCTCTATGGGTCTGAGGCCAGCTTGGTCTGTATAGCAAGTTCCAGTCCAGTTCCGCTCTCCATAGTGAGAGCTTCTCTGAAAAGAAACGGGGAGCGTGTGTGTGTGTGTGTGTGTGTGTGTGTGTGTGTGTGTGTGTGGTAATTTGGGCCTTTAATCCCAGCAGAGGCAGGTGAATCTCTGGAATTCAACGTCAGCCTGACTCCTAGGACAGCCAGGGCAACTCAGAGAAACCCTGGATGGAGGTGGGTGGTCCTTGGACTTCCCACAGGGCAGGGAACCCTGATTGCTCTTTGGGCTGACGAGGGAGGGGGACTTGATTGGGGGAGGGGGAGGGAAATGGGAGGCGGTGGCAGGGAAGAGACAGAAATCTTTAATAAATAAATAAATTAAAAAAAAGAAAAAACTATAAATAGAAAAGGAGGCCGGACAGTGGTCGTGGTGCACACCTTTAATCCAGCACTTGGGGGGCAGAGGCAGGCGGAGCTCTGTGAGTTTGAGACCAGCCTGGTCTACAAGAGCTAGTTCCAGGACAGGCTCCAAAGTTACAGAGAAACCTTGTCTCCAAAAACCAAAGAAAGACAGAAAGAGAGAGAGATAGAACAGGAGGGGCTGGAGAGATTGCTCAGAGTTTAAGAATTGCTCAGAGTTTAAGAACACAGGCTGTTCTTCCAAGAGGTCCTGAGTTCAATTTCCAGCAACCACATGGTGGCTCACAACCATCTGGAGTGAAATCTGATGCCCTCTTCTGGTGTGTAGGCACACACGAGATAGAGCATTCGTATACATAAAATAAATCTTTTTTAAAAAATTAAAAAAAAAAGAAAGAAAGAAAAGGAAAAGAAGAAGCGGGGAGGGGAGTGAAAGTTCCTTTCAAATGCCTGCAGGGTAGAGAGGGTGGAGGAAATGGAAACTGTTAGTGTTCCAGGATGACACATGCTTTTTTTTTTCATTTAGGTCGTGTAACTTCACAAGGGAAGCCAATTTGTCAGCTTACAGAGCTGACAAACTGGTATTTATTTCCTAAACAGGCTAAGTCAATTGTTTAGCCACTAGAGCTGTTTGAAGATGAGCTATTCCAAAAGGACAAATACAAATGCTAATGGTGGCTTATTCTTATGCTTAAATCCAAAGAACTGGCTGCTGTTTGTTCCTTGAAGTACCCAAGTGTGAAGTCTCTACAGAAACTACGGCTCATAGATCTATTATTATTATTTTGTTTTTGGAACGAGGTTGGCCTTGAACTCACAGAGACCCACCTGCCTCTGCCTCCTGAGTGCTGGGATTAAAGGCATGTGCCACCACCTCCGGACTTCATTTTTAATAATAAGAGTATAATAACAAGTTCCTGAATAAGCATTACTGTAGGATTAGGAGATGATGTCCTCTGGATTGCTTAATTCACTGAAGAGGGAATCGAAACCCAGAGAAGTTAAGTAACTTGCAGAAAGTCACTCAGCAAGTTAGTGAAGGACAAGGTAGTGGGAGAGGGCGGAAGCCCAGATACAGTATTGTATTTACCGTGGCTCTGACTGCAGTGCGCAGGATCACACCCGGGGCTTACCTCATCACTCTATGCCTGATCCCCAGCTCACGTGTTTTGTGTTGATTGTATTGTCCTTGCAATCCCTCCCCATTTCCGATGGTACTTTTCCTCCCACTTGGCAAGTCCAGAAAAAGAAAAGCCGTTATTAGTCACCCCCTGAGGGGGGCGCTCTACGCTCATCATTTTTAGTGGGTGGATTACATCGACATCTTGTCTTTTCCTGGGGCAGGTTTCGGTTTTTCTTTAACAATTACCAAAACCCAGAGAAAAGTAACCGAGAGTGGTGGTGCATGCGTGTGATCCTGGCACTCAGGAAGCAGAAGCAGAGCCAGGCGGTGGTGGCGCACGCCTTTAATCTCAGCACTTGGGAGGCAGAGGCAGGTGGATCTCTGAGTTTGAGGACTTCCTGGTCTATAAAGTAAATTCCAGGACAGCCAGAACTGTTACACAGAGAAACCCTGTCTCAAAACAAGAAGGAGAAGAAGAAGGAAAAGAAGAGGAGGAAGAGGAGGGAAGTGGAGGAGGCAGGAGGATTGAAGTCTATCCTGTATTACTTAGTAAGACCGTCTCTCGCCTGGCAGCTGGTGCATGCTTTTAATCCCAGCACTTAGGAGGCAGAGGCCGGTGGATCTCTGTGAGTTCAAGGCCAGCCTGGTTTACAAGAACTAGTTTCAGAACAGGCTCCAAAGCTACAGAGAAACCTTGTCTTGAAAAACCAAAACAAAAGAAAGAAAGAAATTAAAGCTAACCTGGGCTACCTGAGACCCTGTCCCCACCACCACCACCAAATTAGGTGAATAATAATCAAAGCCATGTGCTGTTAAGGGTATGCAAGAGCCAAGTGTGCTGGTTCACACAAGCTCAGCCCTCAGAAGCCTGAGGCAGGAGGATAGCAACAAAATCAACATATAGTGGACTACATAGTGATCTCCAGGGTGACCTGGGTTACAGAATGAGACCCTGCCTCAAAGGGGATGGAGTGGGCACATGGTTTCATTTAAACACCTGAAGTCCCAGAACTCGGGTGAAAGTAATGCCTGTCTTGGCCAGATCAGCCTCTGCCTCACGAATGCTGGGTTAGAGGTGTTTGCCAGCACCGTCCCATCATCTCTTCAAATCACGCATGTTCTGCTCCGCTGAGATTCGTGGCTACAAGTTGACCCTTGGGCCAGATGTGGCGCTGTAGACGCTACTACACAACCAATCGTGTCAAAGATTCAGCTATGTTCCACCGTGAAGCAGATAAATACAAAAACTGACAGCGTTCCTGTTGCTAATTCCAGAAGTAAAAACAAAAACAAAAAAAAGTGCATTTTCTTTTCTTTTCTTTTCTTTTCTTTTCTTTTCTTTTCTTTTCTTTTCTTTTCTTTTCTTTTCGGACAGGGCCTCGCTAAGTAGGCCAAGCTGGCTTTGAGCCCACAGAGATGCGCTCGCCTCTGCCTGGTATTAAAGGTGTGTGCCTTCACATGAAGACCTTAAGGATCACAGATGCCTGCTCTGTAGGAAATGTGCTCGCTACTGTGTGCACAGGGGGCATCACCAGTGATAACAAACATATTAGGTTCAGCTTTGATTCCTCTTTATAGAGTCATTGTTATTAAAGATTTTCAGATATTTCTGGTTATGGTGATAGACGCCTGTAGGCAAGCCTTTGGGAGGCTGAGGCAAAACCATGAGTATAAGGCCAGCCTGGGATACATACAAAGATTCAGTCCCCAAGCCAAATCAAACAGACAACAATTGCATGTGGTGGCACACGCCTGCAGTCGCAGTGCTCGAGAGGCCGAGGCAGGAAGACAGAGTCACAGGCAGCCTGGCTCTGTTTTCTGAGCTTTGACTGGTTATCTTAAGCTTGCTTTGGTGTTTTATAAATTTGAATATTGCAATATAATGAAGACAGTTCTTTTTTTTCTCTCTCTCTTTTGGTTTTTCTTTTCTTCTTCTTCTTCTTCTTCTTCTTCTTCTTCTTTTTTTTTTTTTTTTTTTTTT